TGTGGATCACAACAAACTGTGGAAAATTCTAAAAGATATGGGAATACCGGACCACCTGACCTGCCTCCTGAGAAATCTGTTTGCAGGTCAGGAAGCAACAGTTAGAACTGGGCGTGGAACAGACTGGTTCCAAATAGGGAAAGGAGTACGTCAAGGCTGTATATTGTCACCCTGCTTATTTAACTTGTATGTAGAGTACATCATGAGAAACACTGGGCTGGATGAAGCACAAGCTGGAATCAAGATTGCCGGGAGAAATATCAATAACCTCAGATATGCAGATGCCACCACCCTTATGGCAGAGAGTGAAGAGGAACTAAAAAGCCTCTTGATGAAAGTGAAAGAGGAGAGTGAAAAAGTTGGCTTAAAACTCAACGTTCAGAAAACGAAGATCATGGCATTTGGTCCCATCACTTCATGGCAAATATATGGGGCAATAGTGGAAACAGTGACAGACTTTATTTTAGGGGGCTGCAAAACCACTGCAGATGGTGACTGCAGCCATGAAATTAAAAGATGCTTACTCCTTGGAAGAAAAGTTATGACCAACTAGACAGCATATTAAAAAGCAGAGACATTACTTTGCCAACAAAGGTCCATCTAGTCAAGGCTATGGTTTTTCCAGTAGTCATGTATGGATGTGAGAGTTGGAGTATAAGAAAGTTGAGCACCAAAGAATTGATGCTTTTGAACTGTGGTGTTGGGGGAGATTCTTGAGAATCCCTTGGATGGCAAGGAGATCCAACCAGTCCATCCAAAAGGAAATGCATCCTGAATATTCATTGGCAGGACTGATACTGAAGCTGATACTCCAATACTTTGGCCACGTGATGCTAAGAACACGCTCAGTGGAAAAGACCCTGATGCTGGGAAAGATTGAAGGCAGGAGGAGAAGGGGATGACAGAGGATAAGATGGATGATACCATCCAAATGGTATCACTGACTCAATGTACCTGAGTTTGAGTAAACTCTGGAAGTTGGGGATGGACAGGGAGGCCTTGCATGCTGCAGTCCATGGGTCACAAACAACTGGACATGACTGAGGAACTGAACTGAACTGAACTGAGTACCTGGCTTATACACAGTTGATGCTGGAAAAAAAATAGTGTAAAAAGCCAAGTGGTTATTCTGGAGCCTATAGAAGACAGGATGATGCCTTATTTTAAATACAAAATTCTTTGGTGTGGAGATCCTTTCATACTGATCTTCATTTTTTTCAAAAGTTAAAAAAAATGTTTGGCCATGTTGAGTGGCTTGTGGGATCTTAGTTCCCTGACCAGGGATTGAACCTGGGCCCCTGGCAATGAGAACACTTAAGTCCTAACCACTGGACCACCAAGGAATTCCCCAATCTTCATTTTTTTAGATGAGGAAATTAGAATTTAGGAAAGTTAAGGATCTTATCCAGGATCATACAGCTATTCAGTGACAGCACAAGGATTAGAGTTCAGGGCTTAAACTACTAGCCACTGCCCTAGTCTTGTCTTCAAAGAGTTTCACTTTCTTTTTCTATTTTTCTAATTAATTTAATCTGTAATGAAACTAACAAAAAATCTGAAAAGCACCAAAGGGTATATGATGAAAACTATCTTATTCCAACTTCCCATCTCAATTTCACCTCCCTAGAAGTAATAGTAATAATGATTTATTTAATCTCGCAGGAATTTTCCATGCATTCTTTTGAAAAATGATCACATACTGACACCACATAAATAGTAGCTCGTTCTCTGTGTGTATGTATATATATAAACATATATGTATACATATATACATATATATACATATGTACCTACTTGTGTGTATGTATATACTGCTCTGCACCTCATTTTTTTAGATTGTCAGTGTATACACATCTTGCAGACATCTCCATATCACAGTGTATAAGCAATTCATTTTCAAAAGCTCAAATGTTAACTTTAACTGGTACTAAGTTTTTCTGCAGAGTACATCATGAGAAACGCTGGGCTGGAAGAAGCACAAGCTGGAATCAAGATTGCCGGGAGAAATATTAATAACTTCAGATATGCAGATGACACCAGCCTTATGCAGAGAGTGAAGAGGAACTAAAAAGCCTCTTGATGAAAGTGAAAGAGGAGAGTGAAAAAGTTGGCTTAAAGCTTAACATTCAGAAAACTAAGATATAGATGAGGAAATTAGAATTTAGGAAAGTTAAGGATCTTATCCAGGATCATACAGCTATTCAGTGACAGCACAAGGATTAGAGTTCAGGGCTTAAGCTACTAGCCACTGCCCTAGTCTTGTCTTCAAAGGGTTTCACTTTCTTTTTCTGTTTTTCTAATTAATTTAATCTGTAATGAAACTAACAAAAAATCTGAAAAGTACCAAAGGGTATATGATGAAAACTATCTTATTCCAACTTCCCATCTCAATTTCACCTCCCTAGAAGTAATAGTAATAATGATTTATTTAATCTTGCAGGAATTTTCCATGCATTCTTTTGAAAAATGATCACATACTGACACCACATAAATAGTAGCTCGCTCTCTCTCTGTAAGTGTGTATGTATATATATAAACATATATGTATACATATATATATATATACATATGTACCTACTTGTGTGTATGTATATACTGCTCTGCACCTCGTTTTTTTAAATTGTCAGTGTATACATATCTTGGAGACGTCTCCATATCACAGTGTATAAGCAATTCATTTTCAAAAGCTAAATGTTAACTTTAACTGGTACTAAGTTTTTCTGCAGAGTACATCATGAGAAACGCTGGGCAGGAAGAGGCACAAAAATTGGCTTAAAGCTTAACATTCAGAAAACTAAGATCATGGCATCTGGTCCCATCACTTCATGGCAAATAGATGGGGAGACAGTGGAAACAGTGACAGACTTCATTTTTTTGGGCTCCAAAATCACTGTAGATGGTGACTGCAGCCATGAAATTAAAAGACACTTACTCCTTGGAAGGAAAGTTATGACCAACCTAGATAGCATATTAAAAAGCAGAGACATTACTTTGCCAACAAAGGTCCATCTAGTCAAGGCTATGGTTTTTCCAGTGGTCATGTATGGATGTGAGAGTTGGACTGTGAAGAAAGCTGAGCGCCGAAAAATTGATGCTTTTGAACTGTGGTGTTGGAGAAGACTCTTGAGAGTCCCTTGGACTGCAAGGAGATCCAACCAGTCCATCCTAAAGGAGATCAGTCCTGGGTGTTCATTGGAAGGACTGATGCTGAAGCTGAAACTCCAATACTTTGGCCACCTCATGCGAAGAGTTGACTCATTGGAAAAGACCCTGATGCTGGGAGGGATTGGGGGCAGGAGGAGAAGGGGGCGACAGAGGATGAGGTGTTTGGATGGCATCACCGACTCAATGGGCATGAGTTTGAGTAAACTCCGGGAGTTGGTGATGGACAGGGAGGCCTGGCGTGCTGCGATTCATGGGGTCGCAAAGAGTCGGACACGACTGAGCAAGCGACTGAACTGAACTGAACTGAAGTGAAGTTTTTCTGGTGTTGAACACCAGAATTGAGAATAAAGTCCCAAACTGGTAATGTTTTATATATTCTTGTTTTCTGTTGGCAGGAGCATACTTTTGTTTAACTCTTTTGGAAAGCAGTTTGTCACTTTCCATTCACCCATGTTTGGAAAATTATGTTAACAGAAAAGGAGGGGAAAACCACATGCAATAAAATAGATGTTAAGGTAACTAGTGGTTACCAGTGGTGGGGTGGGGGCAATATAGGTGTAGGGAGTAGGAGGTTCAAAGTATTGGATGTAAGCTGTCTTATACACAACACAGAGAGTTTAGCCTATATTTTGTAATAACTGTAAATGGAAAGTAACCTTTAAGAACTGTATAAAAATTTAAAAAGATGTTAAAATTACCTCCAATAACCAAGAATTTGATACAGTCCGTAAGGGCAACAAATGGTAGGGGAAGGCTGAATAAAATTTTGGTACACCTATTTCTTGGAAAATTATATAACCATTAAGAAATATTAATCATAAATACTAAACCTATTACAATACAGAAAAATGTTCATGATAGAACACTAATAGAAAAAACAATATGTTTTAGCTATGATTTTAACTGTATGATGTTTTTTTCCTGTCACTCCCCTCAGCTTGCAGGATCTTAGTTCCCTGACCGGGGACCAAAGCTTGGCCTATGGCAGTGAAAGCACCAAGTCCTAACCACTGGGCCGCCAGGGAAGTCCCTCATTGTACCTAATTTATATATACTTGGACAAGATTGCGAGAGTGGAAAGTGCAGAGTGAGGTAATTCCCACTGATGTCACAAGGTTATTTATGCAGTAAATGAGCGTAAAGTTAAGAATTCACGGGGCCGGGAAATAGCGTACTTTGAATTAAGAATATTTTCGGCACATGTTCCTGTCCTGCCCAGGTACCTGTCTGTCCCCAGTCTGCAGCCGGTCTGAAAAGGGCCCCGGAAAGGCCTCCCGCATCAACACTCCCCTCCCCGGCTCTCTCCCCTGGCCTGTTCCGTGGCTGGGCGCCTCCCTCCTGTACTTCGTTATTTGGCCCTCCAAAGGGTTTTGCTCCGTTATGCCTTTCACATGCTCCGTGTTCGCCCCGCCTTGCCAGGACTGCAGGCTCCACGGTGTCCATATCATTCTACCTCATCCAGGAATGAGGTAGCCTGGAAATTGTCCTAAGTCCATGTTTTCGCCTTTTACATTATCTTGAGTGCCCCCCTCCCCGAGTTCATTCGCACACTTCCTGGATCAACACCCCCACCGCTGTCCACACCTGTGTCTGCCCAGCCGTAAAGACCCCGGGCACGCAAGCGGAGCGAAGCGGTAAGCCCGCAGCATGGACCCACACCGGGTCCTATTGGACGCATCTTGCTTTCGCATCTGTCGGTGATTACTGTTTGATCTTGGAGAAGCTTCCGCCGCTGACACTGGTGGTTTTGGTCTCCAGGAGCTTGCTTTGAGCCCCACCCCGGCTAAGGGGCGTGGGTAAAAGTTGAGTCATTTCCGAGGAGGTAATTGGAGAAAGATTATGGATTTAGCTGCCCATAGAGGCTGTCTCCACTTGTGCCGTGTGGCAAGGCTGCCTATCCCCCAGGATCCAGTGAAGACTTTGGTAGACCCTAAGAACTACACGTTTCGGGAGGGCTTCCGTGGTGGCTCAGAAGAAGTTGCCTGCAACGCAGGGGACCTGGGTTTGATCCCTGGGTTGGGAAAGATCCCCCAAGAGAAGGGAATGACTACCCACTCCGGTATTCTTGCCTCGAGAATCCCATGGGCAGGGGAGCGTGGTGGGCCACAGTCCATGGGGTCGCAGAGTCAGACACAACTGAGGACTGTCTTATCCTCATCTCTTATCAACTAACTTTAAAGGCTCCCACATGCCACATTAAATACATCTTTTCTTTTGTTGTAACTTATTTTTAAAGGCTTTTTCATTTGTTTACAGTCCTTTGGATATGATTGTTTTTATGTTTCGTTGCTAAGTCATGTCCAACTTTGCCACCTCATGGACTACAGCACGCCAGGATCCTCTGTCCTCCACTAGCTCCTGGGGTTGCTCAGATTCAGGTCCATTGAATCAGTGATGCTACCTAACCATCTCATCCTCTCCTGTCCCCTTCTCCTTTTGCCTTCAGTCTGTCCCACCATCAGGGTCTTTCCCAATGAGTCAGCTTTTTGCATCAGGTGGCCAAAGTATTGGAGTTTCAGCTTCAACATCAGTCCTTCCAATGAATATTCAGGACTCATTTCCTTTAGGATGGACTGGTTGGATCTCCTTGCCGTCCAAGGGACGCTCAAGAATCTCCTCCAACACCACAGTTCAAGAGCATCAATTCTTTGGCGCTCAGCCTTCTTTGTGGCCCAACTCTCACATCTGTACATGACTACTGGAAAAAACATGGCTTTGACTATATGGACCTTTGCTGGCAGAGTGGCAGAGGTTACTTTTTTTTTTCAGAGGTTACTTTTTAATATGCTGTCTAGGTTTGTCATACCTTTCCTTCCAAGGAGCAACCATCTTTTAATTTTATGGCTATAGTCACCATCCACAGTGATTTTGGAGCCCAAGAAAAGAAAATGTTATTGCTTCCACTTTTCCCCCTTCTATTTGCCGTGAAGTGATGGAACCAGATGCTATGATCTTAGTCTTCTGGACCATGAGTTTTAAGCCAGCTTTATCATTCTCTTCTTTTACTTTTATCAAAAGGCTCTTTAGTTCCTCTTCACTTTATGCTATTAGAGTGGTATCATCTGCATATCTGAGGTTGTTGATATTTCTCCTGGGAATCTTGTATTTCATGCAGCCCAGTATTTTGCATAATGTACTCTACACATAAGTTAAATAAGCAGGCTAACAATATAGTTTTGATGTACTCCTTCCCCAATTTAGAACCAGTTCATTGTTCCATGTCCAGTTCTAACAACAGCTTCTTGACCTGCATACAAGTTTCTCAGAAGACAGGTAAGTGGTCTGGTATTCCCATCTCTTAAAAATTTTTCCACAGTTTGTTGTGATCCACACAGTCAAAGACTTTAGCATAGTCAATGAAGCAGAAGTAGCTATTTTTCTGGAATTGCCTTTCTTTCTCCATGATCCAGTGGATGTTGGCAATTTGACCTCTGCCTTTTCTAAATCCAGCTTGTGCATCTGGAAGTTCTCAGTTTATGTACTGTTGAAGCCTAGCTTGAAGGATTTTGAGTATAACCTTGATAACATGTGAAATGAACACAGTTATATGGCAGTTTGAATATTCTTTGGCATTGCCCTTCTTTGGGATTGGAATGAAAACTGACTTTTTCCAGTCCTCTGGCCACTGCTGAGTTTTTCAAGTTTGTTGACATATTGAATGCAGCACTTTTAGACCATCCTAATTTATGATTGATTTCTTAGAACTCTGCCCATACTTGAAAATTTGACGGAAGTGAAAAAATTTAACCTACAAATTGTTTACAGTGTAATGGATACTTTATGAATACTGCATTTAACAATCAATGAAGTATGACTATGTTGATTAAATATTTATTCAACTCAATTTTGTGGTTTTCTTTTGGTATTTTGGAACCAACTTTTTTTTTTAAGATTTCAAATATTTCTTTGGTGCTTAAAAAGTCTGAAGGTCGTACACTCTGTCCCATTGTGTCTCGTGGATGAAATGCCACAGGCCCCTACAGCTCTTTCGGTTCCTGGCTTTGGGCTCTTTACAAACCTGTTTCTGCATCAGATCCTTCCATTAGGGGGCATTTCCTACCATTCTGACCTCAGTCTAGATGTCACCCTATCCAAGAAAGTTTTCTTGATCACTCACTGGAAAATAATCATCCAGTCACACTATTTCACTTCTCACTGTAGCATGCTCATTGCCACTAGCTGATGTTATTCTCCTAATAATATCTAAGAGATGAATATCTAATTAGATGAATATCTAATAGATGAATATCTAATAGATGAATATCTAATAGAAGAATCTAATAGATGGATTTATTCTAAATCTGTTGATTTACTGATCTACCAGTCTACTGATCTATATATCAATTGATTGTCCACCCCTACTAGAATGTAATGTCAGAGATACTGTCAGTCTAATCATGTCCACACCCCCACTATCTAACATAGGGTCTGACACATAATAAGTGCTCAATAAATTTTTGTGGCTTAATTGAGATGATAGTTAAGATCATTGTACACCTTTACTAGCTCATGTATTTCCCAAGTATTGTGATGATTTTAGAAAAAGAGGTACGATGGTGTGGTTGGCAGAATAATAGCCCCCAAAGAGGTCCACATTAGGATCCTGGGAACCTGTGAGTTTGTGAAGTTACAGGGCAAAGGGGAATTAAGGTTGATCATCATCTGACCCTACAACGAGATTATCCAGGTGAGCCTAATGTAATCACAAGGGTCCTTTCAAGCAGAAGAATGAGGCCAGCAAGGAGGTCAGGGGGATGTAACATGATAAGGACTGAGCATCCCATTGCTGACTTTGAAGGTAAAGGAGCGGGGCTGAGAGCCAAGGGGTGTGTGTGGTTTCTACAGACTGAAAAATGCAAAGAAATGGATTCTCCTGAAGGCCTCCCTATAGGACTTTCTTTTCACTCAGTGAGACTCATTTCAGACTTCTGACCTCTAGAACTGTAAGATAATACATCTGTATTGTTTAAGGCATTTACATTTGTGGTGATTTGTTATTTGCAGCAATGGAAAACTAATAATACAGGTGGTTCTGTTATTGTCGCAGAGGAAGGCATAGAGGCCCATCCTTGAGAGGCCATTTATTCAAGGTCATTTAGGCATTTAGTATCAGCTCAAGCTAGATTCCCATTGGTCAGAGTGTGTATCAATCCTGCGAATATTTGTTCCACTTGCCTATCACTTTATAACCAACCAACTCAAGCACAGTGGCTTAGAACCATCTGCTATTATCTTTAAGCTTTTCTTCTTGCAAGGACTTTTGCAGGAGGACAGGATAATCAGGGGCTTCCCAAGTGGCCCAGGGGTAAAGAATCCCCCTGCAATGCAGGAAACCCAGGAGACCTGGGCTTGATCCCTGGGTCAGGAAGATCCCCTGGAGGAGGAAATGGCAACCCACTCCAGTATTCTTGCCTGGAGAATTCCATGGATAGAGGAGCCTGGTGGACCACAGTCCGTGGGGTCGCAAAGAGTTGGACACAAGTGAGCCACTAACACTTTCATGCTGTTTTGAGGTGGTGCCTGCAAGGGGACAGTTGCTAGTAAATAGTCAGAATGAGAGGGTTGAGGCATTTCTGGGGCCAATACCAGGTTCATCTCTTTGGGCTCACGGAGAGGGTTAGCTGGGTATATAGAGAGAAGACTTGGCCCCAGTTCATTTCGTACTTCCTGGCTTTAGCTCATGTTTGCCTGAGGCATACCTAGGACCTGACTCTTCACCTAGAAGCAACAAAGAGCATCCCCCCCCCCCACCAATAATCAGAAGCACATTGAATTTTCTCTTTAAAAGAGTCATACTGTTTCACTGTATTCATTGATAACCATGAGAACACCAGAATGCTGGATTCTAATGGGAATCCCTCCCTGCCTTCTCTCTCCACCTGTCTCTTACAGATATCAGTGCAACCTGGACATCACTTGTCAGCTTTCTTCTCAGTGAGAACGTTGATCTGCACCAGATGATGGAAGTGAGTCTAAGGTAACATGGACTTGGATCCCAGTTCTGAGGCTTGGCTGTGCTGTAAGATGCTGCTTGCAGATACACTGGGGAGAGGAAGGGGAGGAACGGTGATCACAAAGGAGGAATTCTTTCTGGGAGGGCTGACCAACTCCTTTTGCAGACTGACTTTTAATCGTGAGAAATAGAATCCGAGGGCTGAATTTTAGAAAGTTGTTGCAGTTCCTGAACAAAATGAAATCTTGTGTTTTAAATATTTATATTTGCCGCAGTTAAACTTTCTCACGTGTCTGGAGATGGCCATTCTTGTATTAAATTTATCAGTCTGGGAAAATGATGAAACTGCTGTTAATAGGCAGGAGAAGGGTTATTCTTCCCCCTTCGTTGACCGATTTTGTTTTTCTTTTGAGAGTCAGTCATTTGTACTGATTTAGGTTTTCTGAAGTTGGCCCTGGCAGAATTAACAAAGGCCATCTGTGCTGGAATTAGATGCTATTTTTCACTCTAGTTTCATTTCTCCTGGGAGAATATTCTTTCCTCTGATCTTGCTTAAGCCATTACTATTTATTGTGTTAACTGGAGAGAAGGGATGTGATTTAAACCAGGATTGGTCGTTTTTGGAGAACGGCATGAGAAGCTCTGAATTTGCCTGGTCTATCCAAGGATGCCTCCTGTTTCTCAGGAGGCTTTGGGGTCACAGCAAGGCTGGTAGTCCCAGCAGGAAGGGCCTTCACTATGTCCCTGGGATTAGGGATCTGTTCTCTTTTTTCACGCTTGGTGTCATAGAGACCAGGTCCTCCCAGAGCAGAAGAGGTCTGTATAGAAAGCCTGCCCCTCCACCCCACCTGTCTCCGACTGCCCATGCTCACCCTTGGACAGTCTGATGTACACAGCTTTAGGTCCCATCTGCCCCTCCTTTCCTCCTCCTCTGAGTACTGCTGGGTTCTTTGCTCAATCACTGTATCTTTCTTCCATCCATCTACCCCTGTGGGAAGGAGGCTGGTGTTGATGTTGGAGTCAGAAAGACCTGGGTTTGAATCCTGTCTCTGCCACTTCCTATCTCAGATGCCTCAGGAGGTGATTTAACCTCTGTGTCTGGAATTGATAGCTTAGGTGATTCAGGATCTCCAAAGAAGAAGATTTAGCTTCTGGATCAGGCACCAGTCTTAATCACTCAAGAGCTTTTGTGTAGCAGAGTTTTATTAAAGTGTAAAAAGGGGCAGAGAAAACTTCTGACATGGACATCTGAAGGGGGATAGAGAGTTAGCAAGGGAGTTAGATACTTTTTAATCACTTATTACAGTGTATCAAAAGAATGTCTAAGGTGGTAAAGATCTTACTAGACCCACTCCCACAATTTACATTTTAAGATGACAGGATTAGAACTAACAATAGAAAGATCTTACCAGACCCATTCCCATAATACACGATTTAAGATAACGGGATTAGTCAGAAGGTTTTCAGGAAGGAGGAAGTGTCCTCAAGGGGGATACATTGTTGCTATATAGTCCTTAGTACAGAGTTTAAACTGAGTTGTTTGTTGTGTCATCATCAGTTCTGTGCTTAAAGCAAAAAACATTTTATGTGACCAAGACTACGGAATGTAGAGAAAAAAAAAAGAAGACTTTGTCATTTCCTCCTCCTTGAGAATTCCAGACCCCTGTCTCCTCTTTGAGAGCCCCAGACCCTTTTCTCCTCCTCAGAGACCCAGACTTCTTATCAACCTGCCTAGGAATTGACTCTCTCAGTATGTAAAGTGTGGAATGGAAGACCTAACTGCTGGGGTGTTGTGAATGAAAAGCTGTCAGCCTAGTGTTTTAAACAGTATTAACTGCTGGGGATATGAGAATATTAACTGTATGGATGTGAGAGTTGGACTACCCTTCTCTCCACTCTCTCTGCCTCTCAGCTCAGCTTCTGTGGTCCACACGGTTTCACTGCATCCACTCCCTGCGCCCCAACCCCGCCCCTCCCCACTAGATGCCCCTCACCTGACTCTCACACCTTAACTGTGTCCTCCTCGCCTTTTTTCATCCTGCAGCTGCCTTTTCTACCCCCAGGGAGGTGCTTTCTCTGGAGCCCCCGGGACCAGGGGCAGCTGGGTAGGAGTGAGGCAGCCAGAGGCTGTGAGTGTGAGTGTGGAGGAGGGCACTGAGCCTGGCAGAGCTGGTGAGAAGCCTGTGCTGGAGGTGACTGAGTGCGTGGCTGGAAGACAGGTGTTTTAGCCACAAAGCGGGAGGAAAGACTGTTGGGGCTTGGCAAATACGAGGTGGTCAGACTGCACAGGTGGGAGGGCTGAGCATGGACTGAACCCTCGGTGAGGGGGTGTTAGTCCCCCAACCCGCTCTAGGGAGAAAAAGCCCTAGTTCAAGGCAAGTTAGGAAATATGGAATATGACTGCTATTGTGGTTATTCCCACTGCACTTTAGCTCTTTGAAGGCTCTGAGAAGTCCCACAGTTAAGCTATTCAGTAGTTCTTTAGTCTTCATATTTGAGCTCAGATGTCAATTCTTCAGGAAAGTTTTTTTTCTGACCTCTGGCAAGTTTAGCCCTCAGCCCACCCGCACATATGCTATCTTACTACTCTGCAGTTTTCCTCCAAGGTACTTAACACAATTAGTAACCATATATTTATTCTGTGACTTAAAAAAAATCAATGTCACTTTCCCTACTTGAAAGATTCCTGAGGCTGGGCCATGTTCACCACTGAACCCCTTGTTCTTGTTCAGTTGCAGAGTTGTGTCCGACTCTTTGTGGTCCCATTGCCTGCAGCACACCAGGCTTCCCTGTCCTTCACTATCTCCCAGAGTTGGCTCAAACTCATGTCCATTGAGTCAGTGACGCCATCCAACTGTCTCATCCTCTGTCATCCCCTTTTCCTCCTGTCTTCAATGTTTCCCAGCATCATGTCTTTTCCAGTGAGTCAGCTCTTCATATCAGGTGACCAATGTACTGGAGCTTCAGCTTCAGCATCAGTCCCTCCAGTGAAAATTCAGGTCTGATTTTCTTTAGGATTGACAGGTTTCATCTTGCTGTCTAAGGGACTCTCAAGAGTTTTCTCCAGCACCCCAGTTAGAAAGCATCAGTTCCTCAGTGCTCAGCCTTCTTTATGGTCCAACTCTCACATCCATACAGGACTACTGGAAAAACCATAGATTTCATTCATTCATAGGCTCTGACTGAACCCCTAGCATCCTGAAGAGAGCCTGGCTTATAGTAGGTGCTCAGAATCACGTTCTAGAATAAATGATGTGGGAGCGGGGGTTGCTGGTGAGCATGTTAGCTGTGCGACCTTGGCAGGCAAATGACTGCTGAAGACTTACTGAAGGACTCACCACCATGCTGGGCCATGTCAGTGTTCAGGGGGTTATCTGCTGAAATGAGTCACTTTTTATCTGAATGTTGAAGCCAGAACTTTTTGAATTTAAAGTTGTCATTTGTTTCTGCAGCCGAAGGCGTCCCCTCTTCATTTAGCTGTTCTCAACAACCATGTCACAATGGTGAACAGCTTATTAAGTGCACGGCATGATGTTGATATCTTAAATCAGGTAAGCCAGCAAGTCAGAACCTGGAGAGTCAATTTTCTTGTTCCAACTCAGTGTGTGTTTAGGGGTAGTGTTGATCAAGTTCGAGGTTCCTGAGAGGAACAGGCACATTCACTTTTTATCCTTTTCCCCCCTCACCCTCACCCCCACTTGCACACACATATTTTGTCTTTTTTTTCAAATGCACAACTGGGATTCAGCCAGTGCATTATTAAACTGTTCACATTTAACAGGCCCAGTGCTTTGGATAGATAAACAGTAGCTCAGAGGTAAATTGCCAGAGCCTCTTTAAATCAAAAGCTACTCCCCCAGTGTGAAATGTTGTAGTTGGCAGAGAACCCTTTTCCCCCAGAAGGAAGCTTTGTATGACAGACNAAATGTTGTAGTTGGCAGAGAACCCTTTTCCCCCAGAAGGAAGCTTTGTATGACAGACCATAAATGTATCTTCTTTTTGCCCAAAGGCAAAAGAGGCCTCTTGAATTTTTTTTTTTTAAATATCACCATGAATTCAGTCCATTGGAGCAGAATCAAATGTTCCATAGAAGGCATCCATCACTGGCTAGAAATGGAAATGTTGAGGTGGAAGAATTAAGAGGATGGGCGTGGGTGCTGTCTGCCCTGGGCCCCACTGTGGGATGGGCTGCCCTCTTCCAGAGGCCAGAAGTGGGAAGGAAAACTCTCAGAGAGAGGGGTCTTAACCCATGAGCCTCGGGACCTCGCCCTCCTTCCTGGCTGCCCCCTCCAAGGTCAGGAGTGGCCATGATTGGTGAGGATGCCTGAACTTACCCACTGGGTAGTCCTCGGTTTCCTCATCTATGAAGCCAGAGCTCTGATTCCCATCTCTGCTCCAGCTCCAACCTGTGAGGTCGCTGGTGCCCTGAGCTGAATGGGGACTTAACTCCCTGTCCGTCCCTTCCTTCCCCCAGGACCATTCTCCTCCCTGGTCTTCTTCTATTCCAAAAGTATGGGGGAAGAAAAATCCCCCTTGTTATTAAACATACATGTGTGTTCAGATATGTTAATGCCCCAGATCTTTTCTTATGGGCAGCATCTTTCTATCCACAAGGACAGAACTCACAAGTGGTTCTGGTTTCACCAGAATTGGCTACCTCCACTCCAGCAAATGAGGCTTGCTAGACTGCCACCCAGGGTATCAAATTCTTCATCACTGATGGTTTTTGTTAAACTAGGAATACACACAGTGTATAAAAGTAAGGAGACATAAATAAGCTAAAAAACTTACAATTTGGTTCTAATCCCCCCAAAGAAAGAGAGCTCTCTTAATATTTAGGTTGCATTTCCTGCCCTCTGGACTTCTAGCAGTTTTGCCATTGGGAGGTTTTATGAGTATTTGGTGTGTGACACTTGTCTCTGTTCCATGTTGGTATAGACTTTCAATCAGTCTGTCAGTGTTTGTTCCATATCTTAGATAATGAGCCTCCAGAGGGGCGCATTGCCACCTAAAAGTGGGTCTTTAGTGAATGCTTTTTGGTATTAATTCTGTTAACATGCCAAGCAGGTTGGCCCTGTGCTCTGGGAGGAAGAGTCCTGGACTAGATGCTTCTGCCCAGCTGTGTGATACTGGGAGAGTCGCTTCCTCCCTCTGGTGTAGGAGTGGGGCTAGATCACAACCAGTGTTCCTGTCCGTGTTAATATTTTAGAAATGCCTTCACATCAGAGTTTCTTTTGGTGGGAGGTGTAAGACGGGTGGTTTTCTTGTGATTTCATCTATTTCTCTGAGACCCTCTTGTCCTTTTTGTAGGAAAATGGTTATTTCAGAAAGGAATTAAAAGCTGACACTCCTTTTATACACTATAATGTAGGGAATTTGCAAAATAGAGAAAAGCATCAAGAAGGCAATAAAAATAACCTCTAATCCCTTCATCTAGATGTTATCATTCTTAACATCACCAATGCAATTTCTTCTCTTCCTCTATTTTTATATGTAAATTGAGCTCAGCCAGAGAGTGTTTTTTCCTAAGGTTTTAAATGTTACAAGCACTTTACCATTTTTACAGATCTCTGAAATTATTTTTTATTGTGGCAAAATAGATGTAGCATAAAACTTAACTATTATAAACAGTGCATGGAAGCAACCCAGATGCCCATCAGCAGACGAATGGATGAGGAAGCTGTGGTACATATACACCATGGAATATTACTCAGCCATTAAAAAGAATTCATTTGAATCAGTTCTAATGAGATGGATGAA